TAAAAAAAAAGTCAAATATCACATAGATTTAACGAATAAGGAAAAACATAGATGCTCATTTGTCAAATGAACAAATAGTTAGTTGCTCGTTTGTGAAATGAGCAAACATTAGTTTGCTCATTTGTCAAATGAGCAAATAATTTGTTACTTATTTCTAAAATAAGCAAAATAGATAGTTGTTCATTTGTCAAATGAGCAAATACTTAGTTGCTAATTTAACAAATGAGCAAATAGTTAGTTGCTCATTTGTCAAATGAGCAAATATTTAGTTGCTAATTTTACACAAATGAGCAAAAACATAGATGTTCATTTGTGAAATGAGCAAACACATAGTTGTTCATTTATGAAATGAGCAAATAGTTAGTTGTTCATTTGTGAAATGAGCAAACATTAGTTTGCTCATTTGGGAAATGAGCAATCAGTTTTTTGCTCATTTGGGAAATGAGCAAACAGTTTTTTGCTCATTTAGAAAATAAGCATATAGTTATTTGCTCATATGTCAAATTAGCAAGCATTTCTTTAATAATTCATTAAATCAACAAGCATTTAATAAGAAAACATAAAATAAGGAAATAACAAAACACGTACATTATCCTTTCCAAATGTACATCTGTATAATCTTTAGCATTGTTAATATCAGTAGCAACTGAAGAATCCATAGCACCGTTACAAAAAAACCAAAAAAAATGTAAGGTAACTTAATCTACAATGTTGCATCTATAAACAGAAGCCAGCAACTAATAAACAGAAGATGGACAAGAGCCCAAGTCAGATGGTTGTTTCAACTTAGGAATGCAAGCTAGTTTCTGTTTGTTTCCTTATTGGTTTTCTGTTTTTTCTGGTTGTATTTTGTCTGTGGTAATTTTTTCTGTTTTGATGCAGAGGCTTATGCCATGGTCACTAGTGACTCAAACACACAGTTCAGCAGAACGAAGGATATAAGGCCATATGACTGAGTCATTGCCGATTTACTCCTTTAAGCTATTCCAGGGTACCACATACTTCAAAAAGAAAAACCTAACTCACTGAAAACTGAGTTTTACTTGTTGTAGTACGAGTATTATCCAACACGACTTTGTCAATCAACTTTATAATAATCATAATAATAATAATACTTCTATATACCTTGGTGTATTATTTATTGTTATTATATGAAATGGGATATAAAGATATACTAGTAATAATTTAACAGAAATTAAGACGACTTTTGACCAATAATTTTATACAATCATTAATTTTAGTGGTGAAATATTTATTTATTAAAGAAAAATATATGTGAGGCTATCAACAAAAAAAGAACTATGCTTGGAATGGTCAAAAGATAATAATGCAGGCAACGGATAGTTGAAGTGATGCCATTGTTCTCTGTAGTTGGTGGCTGACTAGCTTGCTTTCACTTCTACTCCTGATAAAATAATTCACTCTTTCTTTGATTCAATGCTTCAATCATCTCTATTCTATTTTACATACAGCTAAAGAACAGCTACCAAATCAGACAAATATTGCCAATGAGATCTAGAGTGCTTTGGCACTACAAAAACCATAATTTCAGCTATTATATAAAAAAAAAAATTGGAGCTACTTGAGCTGTCAAACGAATTGACCAAAAAAATTTTGGTTAATTCGTAGTTATCTGCTGGTTTGTCGATAGTTCTAGCTTATAAGCCAAACGCTAACATCAAATAGGTTCAGGTCAGATTTTGCAAACTCAGTTCTTTTACATACTGTTCAAGTCAAGAGCTCATGCAAAAAGAACGTGGTACATCAAACACAAATGTAGCAGCAACAAGCAAGTTTCGTAAACTGAGTTCTCCATAATACCGTTCTGGTCCAGAAATTTTGCACAAAGAACAGAACAGTGGTACTTCAAACACAAATGTAGCAACAACAGGCAAGGATGAAAAATCAGCAACCAAACCAAAAGAAAAGGAAATTTAGCAGTTTGGGGAACTGGTTCAGAGTTCAGCTATTTTGAATCAAATCCCAAAAGAATAAATAACCATTATCTTATAAATTTACACACATGTTGCTAGAATGTCATTCCAAACTTTGTTTTCTATTGCCATACTAACAACTCGTATATATCCATCTATAAACTCTAATCAATTTAGATTTATGATAAGGCATGCTTAGGAAGTGCTCTCTATGATCTTTAAGACCTTCTTTTGTACTTCAAGTGTAGCAGTAGTTAAGGACCCTAACTAAAGCATTAAGCATACATAGTCCTGCCATTGACAAAAACAGTTATATACAACATCCACTGTTGCTAGAGTAGATTTTAATAGCCTATAGCCCCATAAATCCAAGCCCCGACATTATAAAAAAAACAAAGCACATTTAACATACATACAAGTTTCGATCCGAAAGCAATTATAACATACTCTAAGCACCTGTATACAACAACAAGGTTTCCTAACAACAAAGCAAAAATTAAGAGTAGACAAATCCAACACATACAAGCTCTTAATAACATAGTAACAACCAAAGAACCATGACATAGAAACGAGGAAGCTAAGAAATTGAGATATCATAATTTTAATCTTTCAATTTACTTTAAAACATAATTGATTTACTTTAAACAGTCTATATCATTATATAACTTCCATTTCATCGTGTAAAAAAACTCTTTTCCCCAAATCATTCATCTTTCATTCACAGCTAAATCTTTAGCTTCCTTAAGGCCCAAATAAGTAAAACTCTCATATTAGATTGAACTCACGTAAGATTTCTGACTTTCCCACCTTTGTACTTCATGGACCATAGAAATGAGGGAGAGAATAAAGTGGAAGGTTAATGCTAGTACTACAGCCTCCCAACCTCTGTCATCATAATGTGGTGGTTTTTTTTTTTGGATTAACTCTCAAATAATGCTTCAAATGGCTGAGGTTTCCTTTCGAGCTATTAGAAAATCTATGTTATGATACAAAGTTGCCACTGCTCATCGAGTAGCAATTTAAAACCTCAACACCGGCCAAAGCTGAAGTGCTGAACTACATACGGGCTAAAGGCACGCAGATGCAGTGCAGTTTATCTGATTTTGAAATGATATAAACAAATAATCTAGAAAATTCAAACTCGTTCCCCAAAAAATTAGTCTTTTGCACACTACATAGGATCATGCACAAAACAACTATATCCAAAAAAATAGTAGAATAAATCCAAGCATTCTAAACAAACCTCCGCTCATAATTATTGAACAAGAGTTGAGGAGTAACATAGATTATAACCTTGGATGTAGAAAATGGAAAGGATGTGGCTGACATAGTAATTAAGGTAGATTATTATGTGGCTATGTGCCCTAATAGTGGGTCTGACTAACATCCAGCAGGGTATATAGGAATCACTGAAGAAGAATGAAAACAAATCACCATTGTGAAACAACATACGACAGGTTATAGAACAAATATTATATAAGCTACAGAACAAACAAACAAACAGATCATCAATCATTAAAATCTGAAGGAAATATTAAAGTATAAACAAGTAATAAGAATCCTTTGAAGAAATGAAAGTTTTAGGTTGTCCCAGCATTTTACTCCAATTTCAGGTTATTGTTTACAAACCAGGTGAAGGATTAGTTTAATTGAGTGTCATCAATCATAGCAGTCATAAAATTGAGTGTCTCCACGGTCTGACTTCCCACCCCCCTTCCCTCCAAACAATCGCTTAATGTTTTCACGAAGCTCTTGTAAAGTTTCTACAAAAAAATAGAGCAACAAAAATCGCAACAAAACCACAACATAATTTCTCAAATACACAACCAAAGCAAGAAGACTTGTAAAAACCTAAATTCAGACAAAAATAAAACTAAAAATAACTTGATAATTACTCAAAAAAACGAAAAAAACTAAAATCAACAAAAAAAACAAACTAAGAGATAATCGACACAAAGTAACCTAAAATTAATGAGCTAAAATCAGAACAAATTAAACGAAAAGGAAAACGAAAATCAAGCAAAAATCGCAACAAAATCAAAGCAAGGACACTTAGTAAAACCTAAATTCAGCCAAATAAAGCTAAAATTAACTTGATAATTACTCAAGAAAACGAAAATAAAACTATAATCAACAAAAAACGATAATCAAAACAAATTAAACAAAAATCAAAACGAAAATAAACAATGAATGTAACATAAAATTAATTGAAAAACAACAAATGTATAAACAATAGACTCACATTAACGAAGAATTGATGAAGATTGAAGAACTTGTGATGAAAAATCAAAGAGCAACAGAGTAGAAAATCGTAATATTGAAGGAGGAGAGAGAAAATTGAGCGAAAGGAAGAAGGAGGAGAGAGAAAAAACGCAGGAAATGAATTTGAAATAAATGAGCTTTGTTTTACCGGGTTGTATTATGACTGTTGGATGAAATTGATCCAACGGTTGTAATATGTCCTCACATATAATAGGGTTCTCACATAAGGGGGGTGGTCTCATATGATCCTATTTCTATATATATATATATATATATATATATATATATGTATGTATGTATGTATGTATGTATATATAAATTTGCAAGGAGTACAACTAATAACGAAGGGATTCTAAGATTCTTATTCATCCATATAAGTATAATTTTTTTTAACACAACAATGAATATGAATATTAATAATAAGCCTTCAAAAGAAGGTAATGTTTAGAGCAGCATTTGTAGAGTTTGACCAAAAGAAAGTCCTAGTAGCCGTAGGACAAGGATGCTTAAAGTTCATAGAGTTAACATGCTGCATAGTGTCACTACAACAAAAGCACTCTTGTGCCACGGAGTTAGCCACGGGAAATTAAGTATTTGTGGCACAAGTGTTTTTTGTAGCCATAAGAATATCAGTGGCAAGATTTACAATACAATTTTATAAACTATTAGCCACAGTCAATTTATCCCGTGACTACGTTTTAGCTATACAAGCCCACCAAAAATGTAGCGGGAATTTTCCCTCCTCTAAGCAAGTCATGATTTTTGGAGTAAAGTTTCAATTTTGGTAAAACGCATCACTTAACTGCTCATTGTTGATAAAGTTATGTTTTTAAGACTTATATTCTCTCACATATAAAACATTAAAACCTCACTTTCTTATTTTATTTAATAAGATACTCTAGAAATTTCCCACTCTCTTCCTCACTTACCGCCATGGATATAACTCCTCCAATTTCCTCCTAGCTTGTAAAATCCTCTCTTTGCTTGAATTAATAAACAAATTTCACATAATTAGTGGTTCCTTACTTCAATTTTGGGAAATTCTCCCAAAATTGACGCTTTGGGTTAATTTGGTGCGCCGACCATCGGGTGACGTCGGCTCAGAAATCTTATACGGTCTTCCTTGGTCTCTCTTCTTAATCATCAATTCATTTCTTCCTTCGGGTGAGCTATTCATCTTCCCCCTAAATTTAGTTTCTATGTTAGAAAAAAACCTTACTGTTGAATTTCTAGGTATTTCATTTTAGATTGGGAACATGGTTAATCATTACTGTTAAGTTTGATGGGGTTTGTTTGATAAGTTGGGGTAGTTAAATTTAAGAAATTTTCATGGATTATTATACAGGGGGTATGTCTCATATCCCACTATTAGTTAGGGGATATTGTTCATATTTTAATCATCGATCTACAATTTTAGGGGCTATATTATATTAGTTTTTTTTTTTATTTTTTTTATTTTTATTTTTTATTTGAAAGATGCTCTATTAAATCTAATTCTAATAAATTGCAACATGTAGTACTAATCAGTAAATGCTCTTTTCTTCCGGTTTTGTTTATTATTTAATTTGCTTCATTTTAATTGTAATTGTTAGAAAATACAAAGATATAGCAATTACAATGAAACTAAGCTCAAGTAAGTGATGGTAATGTTAGAATTTACTAAATTATCATGTTCTGTTCTAGAGTTTGCTTTGTATGTTTATAGATTGCCTAACTTTAAGTTGTGAAGTATATACTTTATGCACATTGTTTTTATAGTGGGTCTTTAGTTACATGTCTAAGATTATAGAATATCTATCTCATGTTTTGGCTACATTAAATTTATCTTTCTTAATCACTAAAGATGCAAAGTTGCTAATAATTGACCTCCAAAGGTATAAGACTACAAGTAATAATTAAAAAAACAAATGATTGATAGAGAGACCACGTGAGGTTGCAATTATATATAATAGTTACTAATTAAGGTATGAAGCAATAGTCATTGTCCACTATGTTAACTCGAAGTCTATTAAGAAATTGTATAGTATAATTTGCATTGCTTGATAACTCAAGTGGTTAGAGCTTCCCTCTCGGTTTGGTATCTTGGAATTCATTCTCATCTCTTGTCCTTGTGGTTCTCTAAACACCCCCAAAAAAAAAAACCTAATAATTACCTCTATGCTTATTTTGTTTCATTAATCTTAAGTTTAATGAGATGGATTGCCTTTTAACTAATTCTATCTATTTTGTTGTAGTTTATCTTTGTGTCATTCCCAGTGGGATTCCAACCAAATTTATAATATCTACTTTGCGGTGCATTTGGATAAGGTATAGTCAACCTTTCATATCTTTGTATTATATAAGATGTCTATCACCAATATGTAGAATTAATTTTGATTATGTTTGCCATTATAACATGTTTTTCCATTTGATTGATCATTTGCCACTACATGGTAATAATATTTAAATAATGTTTATAATATTGAAATAATGTTAATGATGTAGTCTGCTTGAAAAACATGGCCTATTGTTCTATATTTATTTTATTTATTTTCCTTTTAAATTTGTAATGATATTTAAATTTTTTTTTATTTTCAATATGGATTGTTCTGAAATTGTGAAGAAAAGGTTGGAATGGATGCTGTTACCTGACACACTTAGTCCTTTATATAGAAAGGGAATAGAAGAGTTTCTTGAGTTTGCTTTTTGTGATTTTGATGATGATGATGAATTGCCTTGCCATTGTAAAAAATGTCATTTTTCTGAACACAAGAACAAAGATGAAATGAGAGCTGATTTGTTGGGCTATGGAATGGTAAAATCATATGTGCGTTGGATATATCATGGGGAGTATACACCAGCACCAAAAAAGGCTAAAAATGATAGTAGGGAGCATTTTAATGATGACATGTTCTATATGATCCATGATGCATTAGGACAACCAGATGATAATCCCTTAGATAAAGATGCTATGAGTGATGACATCAACACATCTAGTAACTGTCACAAAGAGCCTAAGAAGCCTAGTCTGACACATGGACAATTTGAAAAATTAATAAAAGATGCTGAACAACAGTTGTATCCTGGATGCAATGGTTTCTCAAAGTTGTCATTTGTGGTTAATTTGTTTCAAATCAAATGTGTTGATGGTCTATCTAATAAGGCTTTCACTAATATACTGAAATTAATAAAAAAGGCTTTGCTCGAAGGTAACACTTTGCCAACAACATATCGTGATTCAAAGAAAATTATTCAAGATTTGGGCCTTAGTTATGAAAATATTGATGCTTGTGAGAATGATTGCATGTTATATTGGAAGGAGAATGAAAGTCTTCAGACTTGTAAAGTATGTGGTTTGTCTAGGTGGAAAGAAACAAATAATTTCACCAAAAATCATAAAAATATCAAGATTTGGGCCTTAGTTATGAAAAAATGTTCATGTTTCAAATGTTCATATTGAAACATAAGAGAAGAGCTTCTTAAAGAGTGGAGTTATCTACTAGATTTACCTCCTTGTGGCAACAAAATATCAAGAAATTAATCTCTATTCTAGTTCTTTTGCATCTTCCATTATGTCCCCAACAAAATAGTTCCATAAATGTTGTATACCTTGTATTGTCCTTCTGAGTATGAAACCTCATAATTTCCCGTACTTGTTAAAGTATCAGAGGCACTTGTTTCTCCGTTTTATAATCTAGTATGCTTGCATGAGAGGCAGGGTTGCTACTATTTTGCTGTCTAGTAATGGTGGAATGCCCTTTCTGATTGGATCTGGTGATAAAAAAATTTCATCTATATAATCATTATAGCTAGGTTTATAAACATCATCTTATGTAGTGTATTTGTCTGCATACATAAGGGTTATGATAAGGGATGAGATGTGGTTGGACTAGGACTAGGTTCTCTGTTCTTATAATTCTGTTCTTGATTGTACTTAAAAAATTGGGATACACTTTGCAGGAATGGGCAGCTGAACACTGTTCTGCCCCTTTTCGTGCTCCTGAGTTGTGGGATTGTCCAAGTTAGTGCAATATCGATGAAAGAACTGATATATGGTCACTAGGATGCACATTGTACGCAATAATGTAAGTACCATTTTTAACACACAGTTTTGGTCTTCTCTGTGAAGATCATAATGTGACTCATTCACCAATATCTTTACTTTGATTACTATATTGCAACTTGCTCTGTCTGGTTTCTGTTAATTTTATGGAGTAAAGTTTCCTTTTAGATCCTGTTGCATCAAATTTCCGCTAGATTTCATTGCGTTTGTGATTCTACAGAGTACCTTTACAATTACAATGTAGGAATAACCCGATAAAAAGGTGGGAAAATGAGGAGAAATCCGACTGATTGAATATTTTTGAGTAACCGAGTAAATGGATTTTGAATGATAATATGTTTAGCAAAAAGAAACATCTTTTGTCACATCACCTATGTTGCTATTTGCAGGTATGGTGTCTCGCCCTTCGAGTATGCGTTGGGAGAATCTGGTGGAAGCCTACAATTGGCCATTGTAAATGTTCAGATAAAATGGCCAGCCGGACCAAAGCCGCTATATCCTGATACACTTCACCAGTTTGTGACATGGATGCTTCAGCCTCAAGCTGCTGTTCGACCACACATTGATGATATCATCATTCATGTTGACAAGTTGATATCCAAGTACTCTGATTAGCTCCAAACATCTATTGGCGGCCGTCAAACTCAAACTTGTATGCACAGGTGTATCTTGAAGGATTTTTATACAAATTATTCAGGTCATAGACACACATTACAGTTTAGTAAATTCTGTGTTTGACAAAGGGTTATCAATTGCGCTTATTTACTTTGTCTAATACTTCGTGTAAGTTAGTATTTATATAGATAATTTTTTTGGCGATAGATGTTTTTGTGTAGTAGATTCAGTGTCATTCGTAAACGTTATGTTTTGTTTTACTAGTACTAGTCTGTTAGAGTATACTGAAGTTTATATAGTAGTAAAAGGTATTGCTTGGACAATGGCATCACTCAAGCTACAGTATTTTATTTTGATATAGGCTTGATTTGCAAAAGGTTTACTGATTACAAATACACACTAAGCCAAACTGAAACAGTAGGATCATTAAGGATCCTTACATAATTTACAAAACAACTCAAGTACAAATTACTAAAAGCATTAGTCGTCTCTCGGATCTTGATTGGTAGAATAACCTTGCTGACGACACTGAATAGGTGTTAGCAAGGTTTCCTTACGGATGATGATGAAGTTGATATTGGGACTGTAAGCACAAATTTTAAATCTGCAAATTTAGATATAAAACAAATGCAACAAAGTGTTAATTTTATTAACTTGAGAATTTCTGGGTACAATCTCTAATTTGCTCATCTGATTCGATCTACACTTTAGCTTTGGCTTGTTTTATGTGCTGACTTGATTCTCGAACGAGGGTCGTCGAGGCTTGATCACGATCGAAGATAGTTGATGCAGAACTTTGACTCGAGTTTTGATTGAGGGCCGACGAGGCTTGATCTCGATCAATGACTATTTGATGTAGAGGTTGAACTAGTAACTTGCGATGTGCTGAAGAATATTTGAGAGGTTTTTCTCTGTATTTTGATTCTACTTGTTTTCCTCCTCTCCTCCCTAAATGAAATAGAGAGAGCTCTATTTATAGAGTGAGTGACTCTTAGGGTTAGGGTTTTATTTGATGTACATGGAGTTGGGCTTTTGACTTGGTAATCTTGACTCATATTTGTAGCTTAACCCATTTTAGTAGGTTTTTGCAATTAAATGAACAATTTAATTAAAATAATTAATGTTTCGGGGTTTTCTGATGTCCTGCGGGAGAGTTACAATTCCGAGACTGGAAACGGACGCAAAAATAACGGAGACTCCTGGGAGCTCCGCCTCCAACGGTCAAGTTAGTACTTGATTAAGGAGTAATTAATGCGGAAATTAAAGTGATTAGGTCTCACTAGGTGAGAGTGTTTAATGTAGGTAATCTGCTTTGTTAGCGAGATCAGCCGGTTATTACTGTGTGTAATTAATGTGTTTTTTCGTTTTTTTCCTTAATGAGGATTAAGGGAGGTATTTATAACCTTGGGAAACGTGCCCATCCTAGGTTTAGGTTAACCTAGGGCCGATTGGGCTTCCCTCAGAAGTTGGGCCTGGGTGGCCGGTTTCTCCATTAGGCATGGAGTATGCCACATGTCATGACATAACAGGTCCAAGGTGGACGAATAAGCGCGTGCCACGTGGCAAGCCCTGACAGTTCCAACTGGGGGACACTTGGCAGGACCTGATTGGTCCACGTGGCGCATTCCGATTGGTGGGAGCAAAATCCCCTAATCATTTGCCCCTCACAGGTGGCACGTGATTGGTCACGTGTTACCTGTGACAGGTGTCGCACTGTAACAGGCGGCGACCTTCTACAGGTGTCAGTCGGCGAAAGGACGAGAGATTTTCCCGCCCAAATTTTGAATTCTGAAAGTGACCCTTCGCCTTCTCACTTCGCCTATATAAGGGAGGATTGTCTTGAGTCATTTTCACACTTTGAGAACTTTTTGAGAACATTCGGACCCCTGAACTTGCTCTGACATTTCGGACCTTTTCTGCCTACCGCCTGTTCTGACAAGCCGACTGCACAGGATTTTCAGAACTTCATCAACCGTCACTCGTTCAGGTAACTATCAGTTCTCTTACTCTTAATTTTCTTTTTATTTTTTGAAATGGCACCACGGAAGCACACGACACGACCTAGGTTAGTGATCAGCCGGTCACCGGGGACGGCTGAATCTAGGACTAGGAGTGCCGCCTGCCCTTTTCCGGACCCATCTTTGCCCTTTATACAAAGTCCGACTGTATCTGTGTCTATGCAGAGCAGGATGGCCAGAACGAAAAAGACTGCTAGGATCTCAAATTCAGACGGCTCCTCCCACAGGGTGCTGCTTAGTGAAACATCTGACCAGGCGCCAGATGTGGAAGTGAAACAAGGCGGCCTGAAAGCCGGCAATTCTGAGGGAGGAGTCATAGTGACCCCTTCCCATTTAACAGTTAACAAATCTGCTCCTTTTTAAAGAGAGGAGGCGGGCCCTTCCGGGAGAGGGGAGGAGTCGTCCTCTTCGGACTCGTCAGAGGACGATTCCGAGTCAAGCTCTTCTGGCCATGCTTCTTTGGACACAGAAGAGAAAAACAGCCGCCTGCAAGAGGCGAGACTTTCTCACGCAGTTGAGAAGGGGGACAATTGGGCGGAACCATCCGCCTCTCACCGAGAGCTAAATACCCCCTATTACTGCATGGTACCTCGGGGCCGAATCACAGCCATGCAAGAGAAAGTGGAGAGCTTTATTGCAAACCACACCATGGGCCCCGACTTTCTAGTGTTTGTGCCGGATCCAGAAGACACAGTCGTCTGGCCGGCTGGTTCCAGTTATGATAGCGCCTGCTTTGGCTGCTACGAGGCGGCCATCAAGGCAGGGCTGCGCTTCCCATTACATCCGGCTGTTCAGCGGATCTTGGATGGGTATGAGTTGGGGTTATGGCAGTTAGCCCCAAACTCCTGGGTAAACGTACTCGGCTATGTGGCCGGGTGCGAACTGCACGGGGTGGAGCCGAGCTTCGAGGCTTTCGCCCATATGAACTATCTCAGCCGGACCCCTAAGACAGGCGGTACCGGCTGGTATCAATTGACAAGCCACAGGGGCTACCTCATGACAAAAGGTAAAGCAAACAAGTGGAAGGACTGGCGGAGCACCTTCCTCATCATTGAGAGTTCAGACATTGAGCTGAACAAGCGCTTCAATAGGTGGAACAGGAATCCTCCCCTTCTTGCAGGCGGCCGTAGCATGCCGCCTGTTCCCCCCAAGGCTAGGAAAGAGATCCTTGATAAAGGACTCTTTAAAGTAGAGTCGAGGGTCGACTCTACTTCAGGGGTACGAGAGCAAGTACCCCTGCACTGCGTCCCGAGCTTCAAATGGCTCTACGACGAGTACTTTTTGGCCGCCTGTGGCCTAAGCAGTCGGTGCTCAAGAGGTAGACGGCCTGTCGAATACTCTGTTGTTCCATACATTTCTTGTTATGACTTTTATTAACTTTGCTGTTTGTTTTTGCAGCTGACGCCATGAGCAAAATCACCGCCTCCAAGACTGCGGCGGCCATGTTGCGGGCCTCTATCATGGAACAAGCTTCAAGCGACTCCCCCAAGAAGGGGGCACCCTTGGTGAGCTCCGAACCTTTCACCCTCTTTTTGGAGTTGTGTTTATGCATATACTGACTTTTTTTTTTCTTCTTTTTTAGACGGGTGCTCCAAGAGCTTCATCTTCCCAACAGCCGGACCCCAATGCCCGGAAGACGACTGTTGGGAGCTCTCCTGGTTCTGCCAGGAAACATGTGGCGGCTGAGAAACAGCCGACCACTTCTTCTAAAACTCCAACTTGGCCGCCTAGAAGTAAGAAGTTGTCCTTGTAAATTTTAGACTCGCTCCCTTTTTTACTAGGTCTAATCCGTTTGTTTATGCTTGATGCAGCCGGCCCTCAGGAGCCTGACTTGGTAGAGATGGCCAAGTCTATGATCAGGGCAGTTCCTCCAGCTAAAAGGGAGGCGGTCAGGGGTGTCGGCACCCTTGACTTAGACGGGATTGCAGGGGTCCTTGCTGAGGTATACTTAGCATATTTTTGAGTATTTGAATTTCTGGACGCCTGTTTTCTTTTTGTTTAGAAACTGACGCCTGTTCCTTTGTACTTAGGCCCTGCTCCGAGTGAACGACCTTCGCAAGCCGCTTGATCGGAAGAACAAAGAGGTAAAGGCTGCAAAAGCTATGGCCGCCTCTGACTGTGATAAGGCAATGTTTCAAATTGCCCAAAATGAAGTTCTGACCATTGATATTCTTTATTATCAGGCGCAGGCTACCGCCGCTGTTCGGGCTCAGTTAGAGGCGGCCCAGAAGAAGAATGACGAGCTGGAGGCGACCATCACAAATCTCAAGGCCGAGCTGAAACCTCTTCGCCTAAAAATGTACTCTTACGAAGCCTTGGAGAAATCCTTGGCCAGCGTAGAAGAACGCCTGGTGACCCAAGAGAAGAGTCTTACCCAAGAGCTCTCGGAAAAGGCCGAGCAAGAGAAGAAAGAGCTGGTCCGGGAGATGATGGAAGACTCCGCTCAAATTCAGCGAATGACTTGGGGCCGCCTCTTCCCCAATGCTGACTTTGCCTCTTGGGAAAAAACGTACCGCTAGTGTTAAGATACATATAATCAGGAGATCCTGGCGGCTGCTGAGGAAGAGGCGTTGGAGGAAGCGTTGGAGGAGGAGGAGCCGGTAGTGGCGCTTGTGCCGCTTGGGGGTAAGGCATCAAAAAAGGATGCAGCTGAAGCCGAGTCCAGCAAGAAGAGTGCTGACCAGGCGGCAGCTGCTAATATTGAAGATCTGCCCCCTTCTTAAGCTTTATGTATTCTTTCCACGGCCTGCGTGCCGTTTGTTTTGTATTTACCCGGCCAGGGGGCCGGGGCTTTTGAATATTTTGCCGGTCTTTAATGACCGGCTTCTTTTTAATGAATTTTTGTTTTGCTTCAAATTTGTCTAAGTATTCCATATTCTAATATCCAATTGTTCACTAGACCGACTGTTTTTCATGGCCGATAGTTGCAGACAGGTACGGATAGTTAGTCACGCCGCCTATGCCCCTGGACGACTGGTTGTCTGTTTCCAGGATAGACGATCAGTCGGCCATTTATCCAATCGGTATTCGAACTATTTTAAAGACTGGATCCTTTTTAGGCAGGCGGTCCTGACATTTGTAAATTTAACCAAGTAGGAAAGTGGTCTGACCAAGTAAACATGAGTGTTACCTAGTCGCCAAGGAACTGAGTAGTAGAGATAACAAGCGGCGGGTACCGGTTGTTTCCCTTTATTCGCCAATGTTTGTTGGCTTTTAACTCATAATTTGTTAACCTAGTAGGAGTAGTGATTGAGAGCCCCTGTTTGCTAAAAACAGGCGGACGACTCATACCTTTTAGGCTCCATACTAAGTT